AGTGCAGATAGTGAGCAATAATTTTTACTTTTGATTGATGAATGCATAATTATTGATTTTATAAACTATGCATTCTTTTAAGCATTTTTAGAGTAAATAATTTGCATAATAATGAAAATGATTTTGCTTAGCTAAAAGTGCATTAAAAGTGAAATAAAATGATTTTTGCTATTAAATTGCAATTAATATTTTCAATATGAGCTCTAAAATGCAATTTGCTAATGTTACTGAATGCTTGAACAAAAATCTGCATGATTGAGCCCTTTCTATTTGCTCGGAGAAAAATCCGCTTTCTTTAAAGAGGATCTTTACTGTGTAATTATGCTTGCACTACTTGAAAAGGTATAAGATTGACAGGAGTTGGATTAACAAGGATCTTCTAGCAGAGATAGGAAAACGCCATCAAATGTACAAACAATTATTATAAGGAAAATATTTAAATAAAGTAAGTTAACAGAAAAGAATAATATTGAACTGATATAGACAATGAATTCTTCGCAAATTTACCAATTTAGTAGAGTCTTTGAGCAGTTTAGGTACTGTCATTTTTGTATGCAAAACAAACACAATGTGATGTTTAATTGGGCAACGAAATGAAGCACAAATGGCAATTTCGAATAGAGGAAATCTTCCTCGACATAAAAATTTCAGTTCTCGAAAAGATCAGTTTGAGGTCTAAGTTATTCCTTATCTCTGTCAATGCACTCATCTAATTTAGCATACTGTTCAATAATTTAAAAGAAAACATGTAAAAGAATACTTTTATTGATTTTCCAAGAGCAAATTGAGGAATGCAGGCTGTATTTCAAATTTTTTATTTAGGGTACAAAAATTTGGCAGTTTTGCTTATTTTCGCTCGGAAAGGTGTCAATTTTAAAACTCAATTACATAATTTTCGTTGCAAAATGCTCAAAAAATGTTATGAACATTGCTTTCGCATTCATTTGTTATCTAAGAAATGCCATCACAGCTAGAGGGCAAATGAATATTGATTCCTTTGCAGGACATTGTGAGATCATTAATGGACGAATACGCAAGCATACATATAATTATGGTCAGAGACATTGTCAAAGGTCATAGTTCATTCGGGAGGGAAAGGAGCTTTCAAACCGAACAGATGAGGTAAGAGATGAGAGAGTAGTCGTCTGGAATTGTATCACTATGTTGCTTTCTTGTATTGTATAAGGCAGTAGTTACTTGCCTGATATGAATGATATTTCCTGTTATCAAACTCCTTTTCCCCAAGTAAGTAATAATGCCCCAGCATATTGTCTTGCTACTGCAGGTAATTTGTTTTTACTTTTAAATACATTTTTTAAATATGTTTAAATACTAAGTAAACTTTTTTAATTTTAGTAAAATTTTACTGAATAACTTACTGTTCATTAATTAATGATAATTTTTTCCGATGGCCAAACAAAATACATCTTTATGGATATATCGCAGTATTTGGAATACTACTACTTTCAAGAAAATTGGATGGTCAGAAATATTTTCTGCAAAGTTTTTCCTGCTATTTTTGCTGCTTTTGCATAGCCGATTTGTAAACAAATAACAGTAAAACAACTTTTTTCATGAAATTTATTAGTGATGGATAACAATAATTTTTTTTGCTTTAGTGTAAATTTGGTCATGTCAAAGATCAAGTTTCTAGCTAAGCTTTAAAAGTCTACAACACCAGAATGAGAGTAAATTTGTTTTTATCTCAAAAACTTGCATAACTAATCACTATCGATTATTTTGTTTCCAGAAGAATTGTTACAATGTATCCCTAATGGATTGGATAACGAAATCAGCCCCATTCCAGCCATATAAAACTAAAAATGCCGAAGCTTATTGCACACAGCCATTAATACCAAATTGTCAGCTGGTGCCTCAAGCAGCGGCACCATCGTCTTCTGACAATGCTTCTCCTTCGATGATCGAATGTCAGCCGTTAGTGGAAGAAAATATCTCGATGGCGAATCTTCTGACATACTCTCCAAGTTCTTCAAAGGATTATATCATTGGTTCACCAACCATCCAAAATGAAGAGAGCTTCGATATAACACTTGCCGAATTGCAACTTCCTGAACTGACTGCTCGTATTATACCTGAAATAGAATGTTGCTTCGCAAATGACTCTTCATTTCAAAATGAAGTAAAGATGAGCGAATTTTTTTCGCCAGCTGAAGTACATCCATACTGTAATGAGATTCAAGCTTCTTATAATCCTAATTCTGTTGACGAAGTGGAATCTAGCAGTAACATTTATAATAATGAGTACATTGGCAATTATGAAATGAGTACGTTATCTCAAACTAATCATGATGATGACGCCTTTGATACTACTGGTTTGAGCACAAAGTTGCCTCCATTCAAAGTGTTGGTTAAATCTATTTTACATAAATGAATCGTTTTATACTTTTCGTCTTCAGAATGCATGTATAATTTTTTCATCACTATGATAACAAAGTTCCAGAAATTTTATTTTTTACTCATACTTGCTCCACATGTGGTTTTTGGGACTGCTTTTACAAACATGTAGAAGACTATTAGAAAGATGACTAGGAAGTAAATTACTTCGATACTGCTTCTTGAACATCGCAGTTTTAAGTATAAGCATTTAGCAAAATATAAAATGAAAAGATAATATAAACTGCTTACTTTCAGTAAAATAAAAATTAAGACTGAATTTGAGGCTACGGTCACTCTGGCATTTTACTTCAGTTATTTTACTGTGAAAGCAGCTTTATTTTTGACAGCAACTTTTTTTTAACCTCTTAAGTTGGAGCCATAAGTTGGAGACAGTATTAAGTTTTGTTTAAAGAACGAAATAATCATTTAATAGTTTGGGCTTTTTAACAGTAAAACTCATTTCATATTTCATTTCATTTCTATTTTGTGCGCTAGTTGTCAAGCACATTTTTAATATAGGCTACTTTTATAGAAATATTTTTTATTTTAGTGTTGGAAATAGTCTTTTCTCGTTGATCCTGCAAATGTCTCAATCTTCCTTATCTGTCATTACCTTGCTTTGCTTTGTAATGTTACAGTAAATAAACAGTTGTATTGAAATGATTGAGATAAGACTATATGAATGTGTTTAGAATAATTTAGATATCATGGCACATGCACATATTTTGTCATGTTGATAAACAATACTAATCACTTTGTCAATCTTCAGCGATACAGTTTATCAATTTGTTTTATATAGTATGTACATATTTTAACATGTTCATATTATAAATATGGCAAAATGTGCACAGAAATAAAAATACATTTAAATATGTCCAAGTATTGCTCAGCTGTTTTTTGTTACTTCTTACTTGAAAAAGATAACTAAAGACAGTCAGAAGAGTTAGTGCAAGCAAAAGATAGTGCAACTTAGGTATATTTCAAATTATATCAAAAATTTTTGGACAAGAAAAAACGTTGACGTCATAAATTACGCTAACCTGCGTAAAATATTAAAAAAATTGAACTCGTAGTAGCTAAATTGTTACGAAATATGGCAAGACTATGCAAATTAGTTCCTTAACTGTAAAAAATCTAATTCATGGGAATTTATTCAAAGTATTACTCGTAAACGGAGAATTAACAGAGGTGAGCCTTTGTTCGGGGGAAGGAAGTATGAGTTTAGAAGAGACGACAGAGAGCAATAAAAGTTTTAAAAAGTGATTGTAGCATAATGTCTATATATTGTTGAATTAACATCAGTGATTATATTCTGTTATTGAGAACATGTATTCTGCCAAAATTTCACTGTACAGTTCGTCTTCTAACAAAAAAAAACTGAACCAACTTTCTAAAAATTTGACCTGAAGACATGTTTGGATAACTTGAGTATTGTCCTTGGCGTTGTTGGCTGTGAAGTTATTTGGAGTTGTTTCCATTCACTGAGTAGGAAAAATTGGTCCTCGCAAGTTAAGTTTTATGATTTTTTTCTTATAGTAACTACAGAACGGATTGGCACAGTGCTGCTTTAATCTTCAATAATTTGCTGCTAGAAGTTCGTTTTTCTCATCTCTTCCAAAATAGCGTAATGTATACTTTACTGCTCAGAGTTAATTTATTTGTTCTATTATTTCAATCAAAACATTGATTTAGCAAAGAAGTTTTGTAAATTTTATGGCACGGAAACAGGAATAAATTTCTGTGAATTCAAAACATGTTAGAAAATTGCACATTTTTATATCTTAACTTCAAAAAATTTGACGCAGAACACAGTATCCTTCAATTTTTACGTTAAGTTTTTAAAGTTTGCATAAAATTTACTGTGGAGAGACATTTAGTATTTAGTAAGTTTATTCGAGACAGTCAATACTCAGTAAGTCGTTTATAAGTGAAACATTTCAGGTTTTATAACTTTTTTGCGATGTTACGGGATTTCGACTGTGCAAAACACCATCTTTTTACTGTAAACACTGTTTACATCGTATGTTTTAGTAATTCTTTTCAAATGTTTCAGTTCAGAATATCTTCCATAACTGAATTCGTAAGTGTATAGATCACTTGAATTAATTAACTTTCTAATACTACAAGAAATTATTCTTGTTTCGGATGGAAATTAGTTATTACAAAAATGCCGCAAAGGATTCTTAACAGAGCAAACAAGTTCAATTAACTTTTTAAAGGCTGTTCTGAACATAAAATAAACTTCTTATTGAAGTAGTTCAGTTTTGTTAGAAACAACATCAAGCTCATTGTAGATAATAAGATGAGTATCGTTTTACAATTTTATATGGTTGTTCAGTTATTTGTTGTTACATTAAGTGCATTCTCAATTATTATTGTTACAGAGTATGGCTGGAATACTTTTATCATTAAGTATTTATATCCAAAATATTTCCATAGTGGCAAGTCATTCTGTCACTGTCGGTATCAACTTAATTGGTTTATCTCTTATTGTTGTCAGTTTGTTGGGTTTCTATAGTATAGCAAAGCATCATCAAGTGGCGCTTTTCTTTGTAAGCCATTAAAAATTTTTCGATGGATATTTTTCAAAAATGATTTGGAATAAAACTTTGCTCTTATAAAAGAGACACATAACTAAGAAGAATTCTTCCGGTTGTTGGTTCAAATTCTGTATTTTCTGCATTTCAATATATTGCAGTATATGGTTATTTGTTTCATCTTGTTCATTTTGCGATTATTTATCTCAGGAGCGTACCTCCGATCTATATCAAATAGCTCTGTATCAGATTTAGTAGTCAAAGGTTAGTTTCTTATTATTATTTATTACTTCTTCATGATGTAGCAGTAAACGAAATTGTGTCCTGTACTAGAAAATTTTATTCATAATTAAAACCAAAATATCTTTCAAAGATATTGAAGCTAATTTTTGACAATAAATATATTAGGTCATTTTTTGTAGGTTGGGTAGATGCTTCAAATGAGACGAGATATCTTGCTGAGAATACATTTCATTGTTGCGGTTTAAAGAACTCAAGTGATTATTCCGTTAGTTGCGAAGAGGTTTGTATTAAGTGGGGAAAGAAAACCCACGAAATTACCAAGTATTTTCAAACATTCAAAGAATATTATATCAAAAAATTTTCCATGGTTTTAAGATTTCGTGCTGGCCTTCATGCGAATCGTGTCTGAATTTGGTTGTAAAAAAAGTGAGCAAAGGCTTAACTATATTTGGTGGGATCGGCTTTCTTTTCGGTTTTTCTGAGGTTAGTTTCTAAAACTATTTTTGTCTTAAGTGGTACTACTTGTTTAATGTACAAAACACTAATCGAGTGGCTATTTTTTATATTCATACATTTCAAATTTACGTTAATCATTTGTGGAAGCTGTATCCTAACATTCTTGTATATTGAGAGAAAAGAATATTTCTTTTTTTTTTGGAAGTTATGCAATAAGTTTTAGCATAACTGATATAGAAGATTTTGAAGCTTAGATTTGCGTATTTATATACCTGACTAATTTTTATTTGCAGTTAATCGGTATATGGTTGACAATGCACTATCGCAATATGAAAAATCCTAACATTGACCTTGTTTCATATTTTGCAGAGAATCACTGAATTACTTCGTAGTGTCAGTTTATCTGTAGATTATCTAATTTTATTCAAGAAGTTGGCAAATATTATCATAGTTTGGTGATTCATTCAATTTTTATCTAATAGCTTGTACTGATGGGAATTTTCATCATTAATTCAATGGTAATGATAAGATCAAAGTACTTTGAAATTCGGATCTTGCACTGTTTACGATCTGATTGGAAAACGTATAATATTATTAGAAGTTTCAAGTTTTATGACATGCAATAATTTTTATATCTAGTATTTGCTTTTGTAATGCATTTCGTCTTTAGTTTTTCAATAATAGCATCGATTTCATCTTGTATTTGCTTTTAATCGTCATTGTTGAAGGAAATTTGGGATTAGGCGCTATGTCAAAGTATCTATAATGGTGTAAAAATGTTGTTGCGTAAGGTGTGTGCCATATAAAATATTATTTATGCTCATCTTCTTTTGTGATTTAATTTTGGTTAACCACAAGCACCCGAAAAGGGGATTAAATTGAGGAAAAGGTTATTTTTAGCTTCCGAGAAAGTTTGCTTTGGGCGGAATAAATGAATTCCATTGTTATTATTGAAAGCCAATAAGCTCAGCGTGCTAGAACATTTTGATTTAATATTTTATTCTGTGTAAATATCTTATTTCATGAATGCTTCCTCAAACACTTGCTTAATGTAGAAATGATCTCAGTATTTATATGTGAGTGTAGTGTGATTTTTTTACAAACTAAATGTGTTTTTTTGATAGCTTAGGTTTTCAGTAAAAAGTGGTTACAAGTTATCTTGTTGATATCACTGTCAGATATGAAGTAGATATAATCACAGAGCTTTGAATTCGCATACATATCATGACTAAGTGAGGTAAATCTTACTATGGTGATTAGTTCGTGTTTGGATCCTGTAATGTAGTTAGTTTTCATGATTAATTAATCTTCAAGCGGAACCAAAGCCACCACTAAAAGAAGGCGTCTGTTTATATTGCCTCAATGCAGAGATAATCTCAGTGTTTCTATGTATAAATGAATCAAAAAGATAAGTGATTGGGAGTAGGGCTTTATCATACTAAGTCTAAGGGAACTAATGGTCGAATCTATATGTTGTTTTCAGGAGGTCAAGGATGCAAGCTGATCTTTCATATTACTCTCACACTGTTGAGTGCAATTTTTTAATTGCTCGAATGAAACTTTGCTATAATGATCATCCTTTTAGTTAGTTTTTTTATTTCTTTGAAATTCTTTATATTTTCGTAAATACTGAGAGGAATTTAGTTTATCGTTAATTATATTATGTACTCAAAATTTAGGAAAATTCTTTGGTTACTGTGACAAAGAAGAAAACGACGTTGCTTCATGCTGTCATGAGGAACGACTTCTCAAAAGGTTTACTTTTTGATTATCGGGAAGACAGTATATGAACGTTTTGCTGTAATTTGGAAAAGCTTAAATTTATGGAACTGCCTCATGTTTTTTAGGAAAAACAACCCTCGATATTCCCGAAGAATGACGGAAAGTCGTTGCTTGCCAGAAAGTTCTTATACTTCTACTCTTAAAAAGCTGAAAGAGGAAGGTATTCTGGTTATTAGACCGGAAGGTATGTCTATCAATTTAAAATTTACCGGAATAAAGAGAAATGTAAACCTGAATTTTCTTTTGTTTTATGATGACCGGGTGAGATGGATGAGCCATTCTGTAATGCAGGTCAAAACATCATTTATTTTCAATATAGTATAGTAAGTTGTTAATTAGGAGCACAAAAAACAAAAATTTTAGTTTTCTCACATTTTCTAGCTTGAGAACGGTTGCTTTATAGATTTTTAATCGAAATTTTAGTTAGTAAAAATTCCGATATAATGGAAAGAAACAGGGGAGTTAATTTGCATTGCACACCTTGCTCTATGTTTCTAGAGCTGAAATAAGGTTTTGTTTTTTCAGATTGTGAAGAACCTTTTCTTTGGCGAGCAGAAAAATCTTAGTTGTTTACTTATACATTTTTTTGTAAACTTAAATTTTTAGTCAAGTGATAAAGATTTGCTTGTAGTGGCTGTATAGACTTTTTTGTTTACTGCCTTAAATCTCGGATTTTTTCAATATCTAGATTTAGATCTGATTTTTATATAACTCTTTTTCGTTTACTCGATCGGTGAAAACGTTTTTATCAATTAAAATGCTCCATGAAAATTGATGAAGCGGGAAAACTTTATTTAAAGCAAATTAATTTTTTCACAAGATGTTGACTGTAGATAACTGCTTAAAACCAAACTTCAAGATTACATTTTAATAATTTTTTATTTAGTCGAAGTCAGATAAGAAAACACGATTTCTATCAAATTAATTGCATGAAGTTGCCCAGAGAAAAATGTATGTAAATTTTTTGGTGATTTTGATCATTTCAATAATTTATATAAAAAATATCATGTTACGCACATTCGGACCCTCCTGCACGATTGCTTTTTTTAGCGTTTTTTTATTGGTGTACCTTGGTTCAAAGAGTTTCAGTTGTGTTTTTTGGTGCTATATATCTTGTACATGAAAATTTGTTAGAAGTTATGCAGAGTTATTTATAAGGAAATGATATTTATGAACTGTGACAGTATGTGCTATGAAGAAGTGCACGCATGATTTTAATCCTACTGTTTCAAGTTTTTTCTTTTTTTCTATGATTGTATTTCAATATTATTTCCAAAAAAAGAGCTGGCTGTATTACCTGCAAAACAAATTATAATGGCAAATTGATTAAGCAGATTGAACGTGTATAGTTCGAGATGAACTTGTTGTAACTATTCAACACAAGTGAATAACCATCAAGTGTGATTATGTTAGGTAAGTACTATAATTGCTGTGAAGATCAAAATGTTGAACAAAAGGCAGAAATTTTCATGTGTATCAGAATAGTTTATGGATATATTAGACAAGTTTCTGAAAACATATCTCCAACTGTCTTCACTTTCTCTTGACATTTATTTGTTCGGTTCCAATATATGTTCCTTTTGATCTTAATTCGCGAAATTTATTATTACTAATGAATGGAAATAAAGTTGGGAAGTAACTGTTTAAGACAAAAATCAAATACTTTTCAAGTAATTACCGGTTTTGTTGCTGCTCTTGCTTCTCTGAAATACGGATGTATCATTTTTTTCACGTGAAAGGAATAGATTACTACTTATTTGTGGTGTGATATCAACATCAGAACCTTATATATGAATTATCCTGGCGATATAATTGTTGCTGCGCATAGTTGCTGCTTGACGAAAAAAAAATTTTAGAAGTGTATTATGATATTCGTATAAATTTAAATTACGAATTAATATAATCAAGGGAGATATGTAATTTAAATTAGAAGTGGTTTTGTACTAATTTTTCAAAATGATGTGTGTCTCGAACAAAGTGGTCTATCTACATCTCTGATAATGCTTGACATTTGTTTTTACTAACCAAAATCCTTGTATTTTTCTGTTTTTTTGAATCTGATGGTAAAGTGCCAGTCGCTGATAATTCATCTCTCGTCTTTTCCTTTTGTATGCTTTGTGTTTGACCTTTATGATTCGTGCTAGATTTTGGTTTGTTAAAAATTTTTTAAAGTTTTAGTTTTTTATTTTATTATTGCAGCAAAAGATTTTTATTCATATTTTCATGTTTTACACTTAATTATTTTCTTTCAATTTCATGTCCTAGCATGAAAATTCGTGATTTTTTCCTCAGCTAAAAGAATGCCTGTCTTCGTCTTACTTTGCTTTTAAATATTTTAGTATTAATGCATAAATAACTGCAAAAGTTTCACCTGCCGACGACCTATCTTGCTTACCTTATAACTTGCTTTCCGGATTGAGATTCGGGATTCCGATTTTCCTGAAAAATTTTTGTTGCAATGTGTTTGCTTTGCTTCTTGTGTGATATATTTTGACTTCATACTTGAATAATATAAAATGCGGAGTAATATTTGTACTTTTTGAATAGCTGTTATCTCAAAAGTTATTTTTGGGATAATGAAAAAACGGGGAAAGCAATTTCTAGAATATGTGGTGGAAAGAATTCCCAAAATTTTACGTAGCTGTAGCAGATTACTTTTGTTTAGAACTTCAAAGTATACCATCAAAGCATCGTCATTGAATTCTTCTTGATCCAAGTGTCCGTGCACTGACAAACGTATCGTTTTTTCTACCTTTGCTGCCTTAACTGAATTTCCGAATTTTAGTCATAATTTAATTTATAGGCAAGTGTTATTCATCTTTATAACTTCGTGCAAAGACTGCTTTTAAAATGATGGCTTAAGGAATGGAAAATTTCCAAAAAAGTTTTGACTCAGTTGTGGAGATTATTTCTTTTGGATTATTTAAAAATCTTTTAAAGTTAGATCAAGAAGTAAATTTGATAAAATTAAGTGAAGTAATTTTGTGAAGAATTTTAATTTCATTCTACTGAATAGAATATAAGGAATACTTCTTAATTCACATTCTAAGCTTACAAGTGGCATAAGAATGAGTTATTTATTGCAACATGTCTTTATACATGTGAATATCAAATTCTTTATTAAATTTTATCAAAAACGTTCAGTTAAGGGATAAAGCAATGAATGTAGAAGTGAAAGTTAGGAATTAATCATTGTAATACTGAAAGTAAGGACTGAGACTAACAGCAATATTTGCTTTATTTAATTTTATCATTTGATTTCATTGAACTTTGAACTGTCTAGAAAATATAACAAATGGGATAGAACCGGTATGAACAACATTAGAGCGAGTACTGATTATCGGTTCCTTTGCACAAGCTGGCAGGACATGTATTACCACCATTATTGTACTGACAATCTAAAAATCATGGGAGAGTAACGAACTAAGTAAGTAGCTGAAATCTTCTCTGTAATTTAAAGTAAGGCAGCAGGAATTTTAAAATTTCATATTCTTCACAAGATAGGAATGTCAATTCTTTTGGGATTTTTTCAATCTGATATGTTGACAACGATGATACGACATTTTTTGCTATGAACAGAGATCTCGAGGGTTTAATGAGATTAGTTAGGAGCTGATTTTTCTGCTACGAATCTTTGACTTCAAGTTCAAGGGAAGTATACCTGGAATACCTTGCAACAAAGGATAACAAAAAGAATGTCTGCTGTGCTGCTAAATATCATAATAACAAATGAACACGTGTTTCATTTGCATTTCTTATTTAGTCACTAAATGTTATTGAAAATCTGCATATTTTTTGCATTTTGAAAGTTGTGTTCAATGACAGTGTTAGAATGAGATGAAGTCTATGACACGTTTATAAAGTTAGATCAGTTAGATGAACTTTGATCCTTTAAAAATAGTGACAAAGTTATTTGTGCGTCAGTAAAGAACTGTGAACTTCACTGCAAATTAAGAGATTGCTCAGTCAATTTGACTTTTATTCCTAGCGAAATCTTAAAAATGCATTGTATTTTTCGTGCACAAAAATGCAGGAAGACACTCAGGTAAGCAAACAAAATTTAAGATTTAATAACATATTGATTCAAGTGATTAAGGAGCAATTCAAAATAGTTGGGATTCTAAATAAATAAATAAGCCAATTTTTATCTGAAATCTGCAACTGATGCCTGTGAATTTGAAGAAACAGTGATTAACATCGCTCATCGAAAGTATGAAATTACTGCCAATAAAGTGAAACAGCTTTTAGAGTCAACTTAGCACTCAGTATGTAGTGCATTTCTAATTTTGGTAATAAAGTTGGAATGTTTTTTCTGTTACGCATGGATGCATAGAATTTGCGTGATGATCCTCTGAAATAGCTCTAAATTCAGCAAAATGAAAAGGTTGAAAAAAAAAACATTAGTATTTGATGAAATTCAGCAATTCTTGTTAAGTGTGAGACGTGTGCCGTTTGTAACTTTCATTAGAGGAGTCTCTGGCAAGTCAAACACTTTTCATTTCTAAAAAATATTTCAGTCTAAATTTGCGGTATTTTTATTTAGGAGTGCGCATTCGTTTCTATATCCCATCTCTATGTTTTGCGCAAGTTATATTTTTCCTGCGATCTAGTTCTCAAAATATGCAAAATACCGTAAACGTATAAAACGTGTAACTCATACGGCTATTTCATATTAAAGATTACTTGTACTGATCTTTTCTTGCATTTCACGCTAACTTCTAGTCCAAATCTTATCTCACAACTGTCGTTTATTCTCGCTAAAAATAAAAATAAGCATTCGGACAAGCGATATTAGTCTATGACTACTTCACGCATAATCTACGTAAAAGTGCTGTGCAGTAAATGACTAATGGAGGCAGTATTTGCTCATGTGCTTATCAAAGTTGCACGATCAATATAGCAGCAGCAGCAGCAGCGAAAGCAACAGCAAAAGCAGATAACTTGTGATGAAGCTCCAGCTGTGTAATAAATAATCTATGTTATACTGACAAGAGGCATATGTCAAGCTATTTGCTAGCCAAGTTTAAGGCCTATTTCTCGAACCCTTGCCATGCCTGGTCAAACCTGCAAACTATGTTACTCTGGGCCATATGTCCTCCTGCTCATTTATATTTTTTATTGCTTGTCCGAACGCTTTCAGTGCAGTTTACTCTCTCTCATATCTCATCTAATCTTGACCATTTGTTGAGATCCTTTTTACTCATGTCCACATCTACAACAGGCTTCGGTCATTCATTAATATCTCATTCCTCTTATTTGCTTCTTATATTGATAAAAAGCTCGATCTCTAACCTCTACACTTTACACTTTTCCAGCTGTCATCTCCGATCGAGCGAATTACCATCTATCGTAAATGATAACAGCCCTCGAGGCTACTCTTTCCTACTTTTAAATGTGTCACCTCTATCGATCTCATCGCCGCATTTGTTCCATTCAATGTCAACTGCTGTTCAAAAGTTGTCATTGACAGTAATAAAGACATGTCATGTCGTCTACTCTAACTTCTTTGAAGTGACGCATAGTACAGTATAATCGTTGACCTATAAATCTAGTGAGTACGGTTTACAGTTCTTGAACTCTAACAGAGAGCATAAGTATCGAAGACAATATAAGAAGGAACGAATAAAGAGATGCATTAAGATTACTCAATGATTAAATCAACTGAAGTCCTTTTTAAGCTATTGCTAATGATTTGTCACGCTAAAATTTTGTCTTGTAAAAAATGAAAAGATGAATAAGTGTTGGGTTTTGGGTAAGTCAGGGGGAGTTCTGATCTAATTAAATACCTGGTAAACTGGTCATCGAAATCTAATTCATCAGCGCGTGTAATGAAAACGGAAAATTTTCTATCAGATTTCTGCATGATACATTAATTTTTGAACAATTGAGCGGTATCATTCACATGGGCTTTTAACGAATCTTCATTTAAGCAGAAGCAAAATGTCGAAATGATAGAACTTACGTATTTAATCTATGAATTAAAAAACTTGGCATAGTATTAAAGTACCGTCTTTAATAATTGTTTCTACAAATTATTTAGGTAATTGAAGGATGAGTAAAAGTAACGAGCACGTCGATGCTCAATAGTTTAAACATCAGAGAGAGAGATCCTGACACGTGGAGTGAAAATGACGGAAATCAGTGCACAAAACAACAGTGTAATGCAGTCGTCAACTAACAGCAGTAGTAGTGAGGTAATTATTTTATTTTGCATATTTTAATAATCTTAAAATAAATTTATCTGAAAATTACTTCAGAATAGAGTAGAAAAGAGACGGTCAAAACTTCTTGATTCCTAAGAAAAAAACCGTGCCAGCAGCATAACTCGTAAAAATAGTGCTTTTTTCGTGTGTTTTTTGTTATATTTGTCCTTCACGTTTTTGTTCATTGTTGTCGATATGTCATATTTTTTTTTTTGCATACTGGTAAATGCATGTTTTTATTATAAATGTTTTGTAGACTTTTCTCTTCATGTTTAGTTTACGCTATTTTCTCTCTGCCAGTAAAATGTAATAATTTTGCAAGAATTACGTAATGACGTGAATTGACGAAAAAAAAGATAGAAAACAATAATGAGGTATTGAATACCTATCACGCGACACTCTTTGCTACCTGGACAGGTTTTGCTATTATAAATGATGTTGTTGATTGTTGCTCCACTTATTATGTGTCTATTCAGTGCTATTTCTTCATTTTGGATGTCTACGTAATTATGAGAGTTATTTGCTCTCATTCTCATTTTAACTCTGAACATTGCTCATTTTATGTGATTCATTTTATTTATGCAAATTTGTTAATGTTTGCCTTAAAATAGTAACTCCTGAGGTGCTCTATGCTTCCATCAATATTATCCCTTGTTATTTTTAAATATTTTATGATGTATTTCTTATGTCTAGTTTTGTATCTGACGTTTATTGGTAGATAGCTATAAACTAATTGAAAACACTGCATATTCAGCAGCAGTTTGTAGAATTTTGCTAGATGGTAAGGTATATGTTGTTATAGATAGTATACGGCGCAAGCGGATCAGTAGGCTCTGCAAGTGATGATACCCGCGTTATGTCAGAAAAAGTACAAATGCTTGCTTCATCCATTTACAAAGAATTTGAAACAATGATACAGAAGAATGGCGAGGATAGTGTTAAGGTATTCTTATTTTATCATTGAATACATATGATTTTCTCATACAAAGATTATGATCATAGTTACATAGGGATTTCAAGTTCTACATCTTTTTTTGATTATTTCAGATGGATTGCTTAGATAATATTTTGTTACAGAATTTAATGCCATTGATTGTAAATGTTTTGGAAAGTTTGGATCTCGCATATTTGGAAAAAGAAGAGTGTTCTGTTGATTTAGAGATGCTCAAAGAAGATAATGAGCAATTGATAACACAGTATGAAAGAGAAAAACAACTTAGAAGAGCTCAAGATCAGGTCAGTTTGTTTATTAGTAACTCATTTTAAAAACATTTTTTGTTGTAATTAGTCATTTTTGTATTTGATTTAATTTTTAAGAATGTTATAAGATCGTAAGCATGTCACTAATGCATTTCGCTTTGCAGAAATGTTTGGAAATCGAAGACTTATTGATGGAACAGAATCGTGAACTTGAAAGTAAAGTTGAATCACTGGAGTCCATTATGAGGATGCTAGAATTGAAGGCTAAAAATGCATCTGATCATGGTTCGCGGTAGTTACAATTTATGAAGACTATTAAGAACATTACTTCATATTTATGCTTTGTATTATTTTAAACCAATCGCGCTGCAGTAAATTAAATACTGTTAATATGTATGTGTTGTAGCTGCTCGGTTGGAGGAAAGAGAAGCTGATCAGAAAGCTGAATTTGACACGTTACACGAACGATACAATGTGCTGTTGAGGACTCATATTGATCATATGGAAAGAACAAAGTATTTAATGGGAAATGAGAAGTTCGAAATGATGCAAAGCATGCCTTTACCATCTCAGCAGCTGAGAACAAAGTAAGTATTTGTTAATAATTGATGTAACTGACTTTTCTATGGCATTTATTGCATGAAAACTTGCTGCTTTAAATCATAACCATGTAATTCACTGATTTATGCTGCATATTAGCTTAATTAAAAATTGATTTGAAATGCCAAGCTATTTACGGATTTTCTATTCTCCTAAAAATTGAAAATTGCAAGAAAACGTGACAGTGTGTGTATGTGTGTGTGTTTTTTTTTCTTGATTTAATCTTGATTATGTCTACAGATTGTTTCATTGAAAATAAATTAACCATTTTTTGAAATTGATGTTATTGCAGATTTAACTTTCTTTTAAAACTTTTGTCATTTGTAGTAATAGCTTTTAATCTACTTGAGATAGCTGTGTCACTGAACTTTTTATTAGATACTTTTTACAACGTGCGTAATTTTAGTCAATATTTGCCAACATCATCAATGAATGGGTCATTGTAAGTGCCAAAATTAAGTGCTCTTGTTAATTTTTGCTTCAGATGACTAACTCTTAACAGACTATTGCATATTCTCATCATACCTCATTTTGATTTCGCTACAACGACGATAATTAAAACTGCTGCTGTTAAGATTTGAATGTTTTCAAATTTTAATTCTGCAAACTTAGAATAATTATTTGATTTTGTGACACCTACTTTGAATAATAAAAATCTTATTATTTGTGTTAATCAAATATAGTACTATTCTTATTTACAGTAAATGTTTTCATAAATATGTTTCTTAACTTGGTAATATTCTATCCAAGGGTTAAATGCTTCATCTTAGTCTACCAGTTTTGAATTCTAAGATCTCTGTTTTGAAATGTCGAATTGTATATGTTCTAAGCAGTAACCATAAGAATCTCTTGGGTAATGCGATAAAATTACTTGAAAATTTTTGATTGAATCTGAAAGCAAAGAAAGTATTTAGTAATGTTTATTTTAATATGCATCTCGTTTCTGTCCTTCTTAACTTAAAATTTTTTTCACTTTTGGCTGGAAAAAATGCTTCAAGAAGAATTTGTAAAAAATCTGCTTAATGGGATTGCAAACGGGTTTGATAAACTTTAGCAACATTAGTATTGTTGTTTTTAGACTAGGAATGGCTGCTTCAGTGGATGCGAATTCAATTCGAGGTGTATCGGATTTAATAAGTGCTCACATGTCGCAGAGTACTACACTTGATGTCAACCTTGCCAATCATATCAGTAGCGAATGTATGAATTCAGAATTAAAAATATTTTACTTCTATTGTCTATTTCAGCTTAATTCTTTAACAACATTTTGCTTTTACAGCTGATTGGCAAGATGAATTTGGTCAAAATGCATCTGAAATACTACAGTCACCGCGGGAGGAGACGTTTTCAGCTGTGGAATCACCACGTGATGCTTCTTCACAAATTGTTGATGGCAACCTTCAACCTTCCACATCTATTTCAGCAGCCAGTGAAGTGTTGGTTTTTCTTATTAATATATTTATTTCCTCATTCTGGTTGCGAAAAAACGATAAAATTAATCTTTCATTTTTTTTAGCAAATAGCAGTAATAAAATCGAAATTATATAATTTCACATGAAACTTCTAAAACGGGTTTTTGAAAATTTCTTATATCATAGTTTGTTGCCAAGACAATATTTTGAGAATAACTTCAAATATCATGACATTTATTAAATCTAACTTTCCTCGATTTGAGTTTTTATCCATTGAAGTAGCTATTCCTAATGTAAAAGCTAATGTTGTTGAAGTTCACCGAGCTCTTTTACAATCTAATTAAGTAAGATTTGTAGAACAAAGTTGTTTGGAATCTTTTATAAATGATTACAGAGGTAATGATGCTGTCGATTCTCTTGGTGCTGATTTAACAGGTAGTTATATTAACTTTATTTTTTTATTTTCCATTGTTTAAAAAAATTTTTCGATTGTTGTATGTAATTAATACTATGTATATAATTATTAATTTTTTTTTCATTAGACATAAATCTCAGTGCAATTAATCTCAATCCATAGATAATGTATTATTAAAAATCGTGAGGTAAACAGCTGGTTTTCATGTTTTTGATTGATTCTAGTAGTTTTTTAAAGGGGGTATTTATACTACAGGTGCAATTGTTGATCCCGCCGAATTTGCATCTGCTGGTAATTTTCATTTGTAAAAATTTGAACTGTTGTAAAGCCTTAATAGCATTGTTATTGTCAGTTTGCACACGAAGCAGTTTTATTGATTGATTCCTTGGTCACTTAACACTTTACACAAAAGTAATCGTGTTTCATTCATCGTTGAAAATGCTTTTTTTGTGGATTTTATTCGTAAAACAGTGAGGCGCGGATAACAGACTTCATCATGAACTAGGATTATTGTTGATAAATGGGAAGTAGTCGAAAGCATATTTCGAGGCTGTCATTGTTTGCAACTAATTTAATTTGCATGAATTTTCGAGTTTATTGGTTGTAATCACTTATTTGCTCGAGCTTTATCGGCAATTGAGGGGTTCATAGGTTACGATAATAATGATGGATATACATGCAATTTATTGTGTGTGCAAATATTCCTTTCGCGTTAGACGAACTTTTTACTGATGACGCAAGCGGTACTTCATACAAGTGCTCATAACGTCCCGCGATCAAATTACTTATTTGTAAGTTGGGTGGGTGTCTGTGCACGTCATTCCAGGTTTTATGTGTTTTTATTTTGTTTAGACATTTGTGAAGCAATTATTTAGAAAAAAAGATGGCAGATTAATACACGGGAATGACTCACTAAGTCAGCTTTTGAATATTTATTGGTTTATTCTAAGAATGTATTATATACTACTACTTTGCATCCTTCATTACTTTCATAGCTCTGAATTCTGATCTAAACCATTATTGTTAATGGCATGGTTTATTGCATGTCTCACAAACTGTTTATCAAAACTTCTCAAATTTGGCGCACTTCTAATTAATTAAAGCTTATCAAAACTTTGTTACTTCTAAAATTTTCAATTTCCTGTCTCAAAAATAGTAATTACTGGAATTATACTTTTAGTGAACGACACTTTTATCGGTATGTTTGTGTAGTTTTTTTCTGGTTCTTTTGTGTGCAGTGTTTGTTTTTTAGTAATTTGAATGAAGCAAAATAGTTTTGTTAGTAATAAGATACAGGGGAGTGAGATTTATGAAATAAAAGGAATCAAAATTGAAATTTTTTTACAGTTTTATACTAATTAAGAATTTTCAGAAGCAAATTGAAAAAAACTTACCGTAGTATTGAAGTATTTTTCGCAAGATTATCAAATTTGATGCTTTCCAAATCTTTTATTGAATTAGAATTATGAAGAGAGTTCTAAAAATCCATGTTTATTTGAAAATTATGATATATTTTTTGATACTGGATTCACCTTTGTACAAGCTTTACTTCTCTGCTGTCTTCTGGTATCAATTTTTTATGTACAATAGGAATCTTATTCATCAATAAATTGATCTATAGAGATTTTAAGACTGTGTGAGTAATTTTAGGAATAATTATGAGGCATATGTTGCATGTTTTTGAGTTCTGTTCGTTTTGAATTCCAAATCGCTTAGTGAAATTTAAGTTTAATGTGTCATCACTAGAAGTGGTTTTTTGGTTCAGATATTGAAATGTATTGGAATAAATTGGTTAGATGTAGTTTTTCAATGATATTGATTTGCTTGAGCATTTAAAATAAATAATTTAAATTATTACAGTTTGGATTTATGAGTTCAAAATCAACAGGATTGCACGTTATCAGATGTGGTGTATGATATGATTTTGTGCTTTCAGTAAGTTTGTTGTTTTATAGACATTTTTGACATTGACTATATTTTTCAGGTATGGGCCGTGAGGTTGAGAATTTGATCAAGGAGAATACGGAGTTATTAGAAACGAAAAATGCTTTGAATATAGTCAAGAATGATTTGATTGCTCGTGTTGATGAATTAAGCAGGTCGCAAAATGTTCAGATTCATTTATCCTGACTTAAAATCTTAATCGTCGTTTTGACTAGTGACATGGTCCAGATAAGAGAAATATGGTTATTTTTTCTGTTTTGTAATATGATTTATCATATGAATCTTTTCTTACTTTCAGTGAACAAGATATATTGCGAGAAGAAATACGAAGTTTAGAAATGGTGAGATCGAAAATGAATGAACGAATAAAAGAGCTAGAGTCAGAAGTTCGTGACCTTAAAGATAGAATTGAAGCCAGAAGTGAGGACGACCAAGTAAAAAGTTTTCTTATTTACTCTTTATTATCGCTAGAAAGCTACGATAAAAATTCAGTCTGCCTCATCCTTGGATCACAGTTTCTGTCCTTAGTGTTGCAGTATTTCTGTTTTCAGTTCTCTTTAAATTTCTGATCAGTTGGTGAAAGCAAAACTCTAAATTCAGGAAGATGTGCCGGTATCACAGCGGAAGCGTTTTACTCGACTCGAAATGGCTCGTGTTTTAATGGAACGTAATCAATACAAAGAAAAGTTGATGGAACTTCAAGAAGCTGTAAAATGGACTGAAATGCAGCGTGCCAAACGTTTAAGCGCAGTAAATGCCAAAAAAAGTGGTGGAATATGGGAATTGTTAGTTTAAATACAGAACTTTAGTTTTCTTCTTTGTTTATATTTAAGACCTGAGACGTTTTAGCTTAGAATTAATTGTGTATTATTATACCTTTATCATTTTTCCACATATTTTTGACCGTAGAAATGATGCAGTTCATTTATCAAGATTAAATAACGAAGTAACTACATATTTTAAAATAAAGGCATAGGGTAGATCTCGTAATCCATATATGTTAGAAATGTTAGAAATGGAATGAGAACTGAAGGCTTGAGAATTATTAAGACTAATTTTATAGTCTATGATTGCAGTTTTTCGGGTCTATTCTTGCAACCACCACATAGTTCAAGCCGTCGTCGAAGACCCGGTGGCCATGAGCGTGATGCCTTCCGTCGCTCAAGTGTTAAAACTATTGACTTTATTGATGCTGATTAGTGAGAACACTTTTATATTTGTTCAAAAATTAAATTAGCCATGAATAACGGTTTGCACAATAATGTCTTTCCATTTAAAATTGTAGTAATATTATTTTAGTTCATCTGAAAAAAGGGCTGCTGAACGTCGACAACAATATAAGATTGTAAAAGAGCATATGAATCGGGAAGAAACAGGACGCTTCCATGCATATGGATGGTCCATTCCAGCAATCCCTGGTGAATTTAATGAAAATGCTGTTGTGCCTATTCCTGTGTTCTGCAGGCCACTTACAGATTCAAATCCTAGTTTAAAGGTAATGATTTCTGTACATTAAACAAAATATGATAATAAAATTCGAAAGCCATTCTTCTGTCTGTTTAACTTATTGTATTAATGTTTACTTCACTTTGTTTTTTAAAATAAAAACCTTTGTCGTCTTTTGTTTATTCCATGGTATTTCTCTTTGTCATATTCTGTGACATTTTTCGGCTTTCTGAGGTCTTAAGATTAGTGGTGCTTGCATTTGAAGATTTGGTGTTCGTCTGGAGTAACTTTACAAGGTGGTCGAACCCGCGATGGGGGATACATTGTTGGAGATTCGATTTTTTATTCTGATCCAGCGACTCCAAAGGAAATAACACCACCTCTTGATGGATCAATAGATCAACTTGAATTTGAACTTAAGGTATTATAATAAAATCGTAATATTTCGTCTGAAAAATAATATGAAAACTTAGTTATTTTTTTTTTACTTTCATAAACTTTTTGTCTATGAAATGTCTTATTTATTTACGATATAGACATAAAAATAGTGAGTAATATATGTGATTGATTGCTGAGTTTAGAGGGCATCAGAAGACGCTCGAGAAATGGAAATGCTTGCATGGGAAAGCTCAAGCTTGCTATGGGTATGCAGCTCAAACCAAGGCCATAGCCTTGTTGCTATTTTAGATGCAAATAATCCAAACAGTGTTATCGACACATTTCGCGCATGTTCTGCTCATGTTCTTTGCGTATCTTCTGTACCAGGTGCGTTTAATTTCAAATTATTTATTTGCATTTCAGTATTTCTTTCAGTGGAAAGTTAGATTGATTAATTTCAAGCAGCAGATAACATCACCTCTTTATTTAAGGTGTTCGAGAATCAGATTATCCCTCGGAAGATTATAACTGGAAAAGTTTTTGCCGTGGCGGTGGTTATGTCAAGGATTTACCGTCGGATATTAATGATCAAGACCAGTTCGGTGCTATACAATGGGTATTTAAACTTGTCTGTTACTTAATTTTTAAATATTTTACATAATTTCAAAGATCATTTTTCTGCTTTTAGGTAGAATTGCGTAAACTTGACTCAGATGAAGACCATGTTGCAACATTCTGTGGTCCTGACCAGAAGCCTTCCCCTCAGCGTTTTCGAGATTGTAAATTTTCATGATTAACTTCAGCATTTCAAATCACATAGTTTTTTGATTAGTAATATTTTATTTGAGTTGGCAATATTGTTCTTAATGTTGCTTTCAGTCAGTCTTTGCGAGCAGGCAGTACCTAGTACTTCGGAAAGTTGCCAAGGTCTGAATGAAACAACTGAGCTTGGTGAGTTGTATTGATTAAATTTTTTTGGTTTTACTTACTTTGATTTAACACAATCTGTGTTGGTTGAGCATGACAAAATAACCTTATCAAATTATCATATATTACTTGTTTTTAAAAGTCTTTTTCCATATATTTTATAGTAAATAATTAGGCTCTGTACATCACTTTTATCTTTTTTGTCGAATTAATGCAGAATAATAAAATGAAATAAATGTTTGATGTGATAAACTTCGGGAGCATCAATTTAGGAAATAATAATGTTTTTTGGGGTTAAGCAGCCTGATTCAAACAGCAAGAAATATGAAGCATATTTTTAATAATTATAAGCGCAGGAATGGAGTGAACTGCTGTGGCTTGCATAGTTTGATTGTTTAACTAACAGAATGAAAGGGATACATGTGAAGAGAGTAGTAAAGTATGGGAGGAATTTATGTAAAGTTATCTCTATTATTATTCTAAACATTTCCACTATTGTTATTACTCGAAGACATCTGTAGTCAAAATGGTGATCGAATCGAATGATGAAAGCAAAATTGATAAACTTGAAGATAGTGGCGTTGTGAAGAAATATATACTTTTGGAAAAATATAAAGAAGCGGCCGAAAAAGGCGCTATTTTTGGTGAGAAAACATGTTAATGCATGTGCTTCTGCAGTTTGATTATATATAATCAATTTTGCTTATTTCGAGCATAATTTTCTCTATATATGTAGAAAATAATGCTAGAAATGGACAGTTCATTGTAAGTCTGGTCATAATTGGTCACTTTCATACTTATTCACATTATTCTTATCGTTTCATTTTCTACTTTTGCCCACTTTAATTGTCCATAAAAATTTCCACTAGTGCTTGAGATGTTACTTAGAATATCTGCTCATATTTGTTTTCAGTTCTTGCCACAAATATTCGAGATTAAAAAAAAAGAGTAAAAATTTGAATGTCATTTTTGGTATTATTTTCAAATGCTAAAATTTTTCTTCAGATTTTGGGATTCCCAACTGCTTTGATTTGCTCGTGAATGTGTATAATATTTTTTCTTAGTTTTAATGCCTTTTTGATAACAACTATTTTCTTCTTCCTGATCAAATTGCATGCTAATCGCGTTGATATTTATATAATGTTTTATGATGTTTTCATTGCAATTCATCAATCATATGATTCTATTTTAATTTTTAGATATTGCGAATTTTCAGAAAAAAATGGAATCAGTACACTTCCAGCTCATATTAAAGATGGTCTTAGCAAATATGACGGAGTGTCAGATAACATGACGGCATTGCCGACGATGTGGATGGGATCTCAAAATGACTAGTAAGGATATTTTGTTATTAGTTTTTCTCGGACTGTATGTAGCTTGTCTGTAGTATAAGATATCAAAAGTGATACATAATGCTCGAATATATTAGACACTAGTACTGTTTTTAACTGCATTTAATGCTGCTTTTATGTGGTAAACATTATACTGACAAACTAGATTTGTTTACGATTGTTGTATAATTTATCGTAGTTCTATAAGTGGTAGTTTGATTTTTTCAGTATATTCATTCATTCAGCAGTGTCTGAATGGCGTAAATGCTTGAGACGTATAAAAATGCCTGATGCTGTTCTTTCAATTTTGTGAGTTTTTTTAAATAATTTCAGCCATGTTCTTATTTTGCCAGCATTCAAAAGTTTTTCTGAGACGATATAGTCATTCGAATCTTTTTATGATTTATGACCATTTTGCTTCATTTGAAATTGCAAAAAAATGTTTATATGAACTATTATTATTTTATAAACCAAAAAGTAGAAAAACGTTGTTCTTAATTTTAGGAACTTTTTTTGCATCGGAAATCCACAATTATTTTAAAAAAATACATTTTAAGTAATTAATATCTTGTTATTCTTTAATTCATCACTTTACGTATATTTTTAATATTATCAAGATGACTTGCAATTACTATAATTCTTCAGACATCATAAAGGGCGTGTATTTACCGCTCTTGCTAATGGCTCCATTGCTGTTTTTCATCGAGATACAAGTGCGTAATTTGTCTTCGATTGACTTCGTATTTTATCTACTTAATGGTTTATAATTATGGTAACCAAAAAGTTTTTATTTCTGTAGTTCCTTACAGACGGTGGCTGGTCTGAAGCAGGTTATCATTATCTAACCGTTGGTCGTGCGACTAGTTCAGTTAGATCACTTTCAGTTGTTGGTGGTCGGTTGTGGGCTGCTTATAGGAACTGTATCATTGTTATAGATCCTAAAGATCTTACAGTGAAGGTTATTATTATTTTAAAATTCACTTCTTGACTTCACCATTCACGGAGTTTATCTTGATTTCTTCTCTAGTAATTATAGTTTATTTAATATCTTATGTTGTAGAAAGTTTTTGCTGCACATCCAAGACGAGATAGTCAGGTTCGTCATATGCAGTGGATTGGAGACGGTGTATGGATATCTATTCGACTTGATTCAACTCTTCGGCTTTATCATGCTTATACTTATGAGCATCTTCAAGATATTGATATTGAACCTTATGTCACAAAAATGTTGGGTATGAATATTTTACAATTCCCTTTCATGACTGTGAAGTAATCTATGAATAGATTTGGTTGTTTTTATTCTTTTTACATAAATTTTCCGTGAATTTCATCGGAATTATGAAAATGAATGGATTTTTTGATGCTTAAGCTATTACTTTTAGGCACTAGTAATTTGGATTATTCGTACATGCGTACCACTGCATTACTGATAATCTGCCAACGGCTGTGGATCGGAACAGGAACAGGAGTGATTATTTCCGTACCATTATCTGAAAGTAAGAAGATTTCTGCAAATGCTGTCATATTAAGTTTTATTTGCAATCTGAATACGTAGATATATATTAGGTTTCAAGGATTTAATTAAAAGAAGGGCTAACAAATTAAGCTGTTGTTGGAGGCTTAAACCGACAAATAATTGACAATCTAGAATAAAGCAATTTCAGCCAATAAAAGCCGAGTTGAAACAAAAGTAGAAACGCATTTGTCCAGTATTGAAGTACGGGGTCCAGGAGGTTTAATTCGAGTTTATGGTGATGCGAATAGTGAAAAAGTTTCTCCCGGCAGTTTTATACCTTACTGTGATATGTCACGTGCTCAACTTTCTTTTCATGGACACAAAGATTCTGTAAAGTTTTTTTTGGCTGTCCCAGGTGAGTTGGTGGATAATTTTTTAGCAATGAATTTATTTTGTTTGTCTTTAAATCTTTTATCAAAATTAGCAAAAAAAAATTATGGCAAAGTTTCGATGTGTGATAACTGCAATATGCATTGATTTGATCGCTACATTATTTTTTAATTAGATTTTGATATTTTAACCAAAGTTGCATATTGTGCTTAAAAAATTTTCATCGATGAGTACCATCCAAAATGCAGTTTATATTGTCACTCGTTAGTTTTTCATTTAAAAAAGAGTAAAAGTTTGCGATACTCTACTTTTGGCTCTTAAAATATACTGATAATATTACCCTTGCTGGCTTCGACATTTTTTACTTCAAAAAAGTGTTAATTTTTCTGTGTTTTATTTATTTAATATTGATATATGTTTGTGTCTTTTCAGACCTTCTCTCAGCATTGTCTTCAAAGTCCATGAATGATAATGGGCATCGGAATAAATCAAATCCACTTAAAATGCTTGTTGTTTCAGGTGGTGATGGATATATCGACTTTAGAATAGGTTACTTCCACATAATTATTTTGAGGATATATAGTCATGAAATGCACAAAATTAATTATCTCTAAAATAAATTGCTGTTGTTATCCTTAAATATTATTAAGGAGAAGAAGACACAGTCGATTCAGCAAATCATACGCGAGTTCGAGACGTATCTCATCTAATTGTTTGGGAAATACCTGTCAAAAAAACTCTTTCATAAAATGCACTTTTTGTGGTGTATTCATTGGCTCTTAAATTCCACATTTGGATTTGATAAGGTTCAATTTTATTTTGTTCAGAAATAATTTTGGGCCAAAATTCAGTACGACATTTTCTAAACTGTTGGTGATGGTCGGTATACTTAACATAACATAACATTAAAAAAACTGTTCACTGATTTTTTTCAAATATTTTGGCTCACTTTTATTGAAGAGTTCACAGCTTCATAAATGCTCTTTTAAAGTGTTGAGATTTTTTTACTTTTTTAGATTTGTATTTATCCATAACGGTTTTTCTTGCATAAACTTTTCTTTTCTGATTGTTGTACACTGTAGCTTTGTTTTTTTTATGTATTAAGCATTCATGAAATTGATCGCAGGATTTTGTGAAATCCATATTTTTACAAATTTCAAGCAGCTGTTTTTTCTGTGTAGTACTAAGCTTATCATCCCGTTGCTCCATACGTATTGGTCTTTCATGAAAAGTAGATCATGGACTACTCAAATTTTGCACTCATAGATTGAAATTCTTTCACAGTTTTTTTCGCATTTTCATTGAATTTTCGCAGATTCCATGTACCATGATTTTATTAGGAAATATTCTTAATATCTGATAATACTGTAATAATAATTACAGCAATAGTGATAACAGCCATTATAATCATAACTATGATAATAATAATAATAACAATGATAATAAAGTAATAATAAATAGAGATATCACAAAAGGTATTAATTTTCGAGAAGAAAATTTATTTAAAAAAATTAGCTGTGATGTTAGCCATATCATTGTTTCTTTAAGTAATTTTCGGCATTGTATTTACTATGAAAATGTGATTCAAAGTTTTTGTGAGTTTGTCGATTTCATTGGTGTTGCTTATGATTTTTCTTGTTTTCGTAATTTTCTTGTATTTTCCAGACATGTTATTGTGTTACTGTATGAAAAGTTTGGAGTTCAGAGGCTCATAAAAAGGTGTTGCTTTATGATTAAAAAAACACTGATGTGGAGAGATTTTGCAACTTCATTTTTTGAAAATAAGTTGTCAGCAATATGCTGACATATAGCTTACAAGTTATTGTTGTATAATATGTAAATTGAGTCGTTGTGAATGTTGTAAGTGCAATGTTTTTATTCTTGGACACATTTTTAATTACAGAGTAGAAATGAATTATGGCGAAACATGCAGTCAAAAAATGTTCCTAATAAAGTTACTGAAAGGTTACTATTAAGTACTGTATTCGTAATTTTGCACTACATTAAATCGAATGAAATACATGTAGATGGAAGAATAGTTTAGGCAAGATGAAGAAAAACAAGTAAATGTAAATTGCAAAAGTTAACTTAGATAACATGAAAGACAATCATTAACAAGTGTTAAGAATCGGTAAATTAGGTAGAGGATTGTATGAATGAAGCCGCAAGATGCAGCATACTTCCAGTGGATGGGCTAGCCTCTTGATTTTTTGTACAATTAAGTATTATGAAGTTTATTATTGCAAGTGAATTTTATGCAAAATTAGATGGAAGAATTTCAAGATTTCTGATTTTAAGTTAACCTGGTTTGATTATTGACGGACGAAAGGAATTCAACCAAAGTAGAGGTCTTGAAGTCATTCTTTAAGTAATTTTCGGCATTGTATTTACTATGAAAATGTGATACGAAGTTTTTGTGAGCTTGTCGATTTGTTTGGTGTCGCTTATGGTTTCTCTTGTTTATTTTCCAGACATGTTACTGTGTTACATTAGATTTCGTGTCAGTCCACTACTATTTGAGAAACTGCAAATGTGTATTTGAAAAATTGCAAGAACTATTTTTCTCCTGTTGGCTCAAACGATTTATTCCTGAATTCTCCGTACAACTGAGCAACCGGAAGAATAATGTATGATAAAACAAAAGAAGTGAATTTTTTGCTATTCAAACTGAAGTAATCATCAAAATGAACTGAGATGCTTATCAAAATGCTTTATTCACGCCACAGTATGCATGTGATGAACTGGCCGTATCTTATCTCATTCATTACTTTAACTGCTATGTGCACTAAATATTGCAGTTATAAGCATCTGAACAGAATTGAGAAAATAGCTGAAGACAAAAAGATGGATCTAGTGACTGTCAAATAAGCATATTTGAATATCATTATTTCTATCAACTATAAACCAATAAGTCTATCAACTATAAACCAATAAGTTGGTGAGAAATTAAATAAGTAATATTTAATGACTTGTAGTAAAGTTTTGTTCATTCTTACTCATTTCATCACACTTCAAATTGGCATACGCTTGCTTGTGAAACTGAATTTGCGTAAATTTACTAAGGAACTTCCACTTAAAGAAGGCACTGCAGGGTGTTCAAAAATAATGTGCGATGCACCACTCTTAAAA